AAAGAGTGTACTTGCTTATGATATACGTTATATTTTCATTACATTAGTAAAAAAATAATGTTGACAATATTGTCGTTTATCATACATTCAACACAGACTCCTTGAATCGCAGTCAACTGCACAGATTACGACGTCACTGTAGCTCGTAGGCTAGCAGCAACCTGTGAGTTGAACGGGGGATGGCTCAACTCATTTTTTAAAATCATAATTACTTTATCTTACTTTATCTGTTTCACCATTCAGATGGTATGGTTGTTTAACAGCAGTCAGTTACAACTCATTTTTTAAAATCATAATTACTATCTGTTTCACCATTCAAATGGTATGGCAGTCAGTTCGAACCGTAATTTACCAGAGAAATTATCAGCGTATTTTAAAAATAACTTTAATTAGAACTTCCCTTTACTATTGTTAGGCGGGAGCTAGAGAAACTTCCAGATAGTTGTGTAGCATATGAGGGGGAACGAACACAAAGATTAAAAATGCTCGCCAACGTCGTTAACAGGCTAACATTTTTACCTACACAACTCTCAGTATGTGATTGAGCTCTCACGACATATACGTGTACGTTGTTACCTGGAATCTGCACGTAGAGAGAAACAAAAGCACACATGTAGATGAGGGACATGCACCAGAGGAACAAGCGCCGCGGGATCGTTATTTCCCCCATGTTTCAGTGAAGGGCTGCAAAACTGGAACAGTCAGAATTCACTGGGAGAAAAAAAAAAAAACAGGCACTTGCTGGCGGACACGTATTGAAGGACCAGTAAATGGGCAAGTTCCAGGTTCCGTCACAGGATGGCGCTGCTGCAATTCCTTTTGACTTTTGAGCGTTGCATTCAAGTAACGTCGGACAAGAGCGAATGCTGAAAGTCATCTTTGAATCAGGACTATTGCCTGCAAAATATTACTTTTTAAAATATATATATATATTTCTCGTTTTCCAAAATTGAATATTTAAGTAGCCACTTTTTAGGTGTCCATCTTGCCTGTGATGAATTAATAAAAATGAATTTAGATGAACATTTATTTAAAATGATCAATTGTTTCGAACGATGGTTTGCTCTACTGTACTTCAAAGAAATAAACATATAATTCTAAGTACTTAAATTGTAATTTTATTACAAGAGACAATATTTTGACTTAAGTTTTGGAGCAAAATCGTTAGGGTCCAACAAATAGGTTACGTTCCAATTGGGCAAACAGACTAGTCTTTTCAGAAAGTATTCCTAGTCTTTGCTCATCATTGGCACAAAAATAACTTTTAAATTAAACTTCTCCTTTGACCATGGAGAGTCTAAGCTACCTAATGCGCTACTGGTGGTTGAAAGAAACATCTGATTTCATGTCAAATTACAGTGAACCTGATGAGTAACAGTACTTTTGGTTTGACAGTTTATTGATTTATTGGAATTTAGGTTGCTCTGCATGCAAAGTATTTACATTCAAGTTTTAGCCACAGATCGGAGAAACGATCATAAAGTAGTGATTACATTTTGACAGATCAAAGTACTAACGGTTCTCTGAAAGGCGACACGGAATGATCTGCACAACGAGGCAGTAAATCCAACAAGTTCAATTTTTTTACAAAAATACTTACATCTGATTCTATTTACAGATTGTTAGCTGGCACCATCACAAAGAGATGCTTTCTTTTCCAGTTTTGGACGTATACATTGGATCAGCAGCAAACTGTTATTTGGTAAATGAACGCCAAAGCAAAAAACATGTAAATATAACACTGGTGCTGCTGGTAAGGTTCACTGTGTTACACTGACTTTTTTTTTTCCTCCCTCCCTTTTTCCTTTATTTTGGTTTTTTGTTAACATGTCTAGACATAAACTCCACATACCGTTAGGTTTAAAATAACTTTGAAATAAAACAGTCTAAAGTCATGGCTTGTCAAGTAAAAAAGCATAAATGAGATATTCAAACACAAGTTAAAACGTGGTTGTAATCTGACTTTGTAGCATGACTTGTATTTGTACTTAGCTAATCCTGAAGTTCGTCTTCACCCTTCACATCAGGATCCAGCATTAGAAGGTTGAGGTCTTAACAGTTCGGGCCACTGTAGATATATTAATCCTGACAACTCTTATCATGTCATCCCTGTAACGACATTTCACAGAAAAATATTTTTTCTGCTTGTAATCACCTAATAGTTTGTAACTGAAAATACTTGTCACCGCCACCGTAGCACAGGTACAATCTCAATTGTTTGTGTATGTGGCCGACTGAGTCACAACAGAATGAATGGCAGTAAAACGTAAGATAAAATGGCTGACAATCATTTGGCTGGCATTCGACCTAATACTTTCAGATCCAGATCTACGTCAGTATAATTTCACTCACAATTGCTTTGCTTAAACAACAAAACAAAAAAAGAAAAAAACGAAGACATTTTTATACCATTTTATGTTATGCATGAGTCATGTGTCCTTTTTATGATCTGTTTTTTTTTTTTAATATATTTGAATCTTTTACAAAGCGTTATGGCATGCATTGGACGGCTTGTTTACATGCTCGCTCACTCAGACAGAGGACGTCTTTTCAGACCAGGTGTCGACACCTGTCCTCACTGGTTTCAAGACACTTTTGGACACTTCTGACAATGATGGCTCACAATAGTCATTCTTGAAACGCCTTTTTTTTTTTTTTTTTTTTTTCAAGTTCAGACAACTGTGACCATGTATGGTTGGCTAACTCTTGGCTTTAATTTGTCAAAAATGTTTAGGCTGTTTTTGACTAGTTAGACACATGAACAAAAATAGAATGGATTTACAGAGATAAGTTATGGTTACTAATATGAACAGGAGTTTAAGCATTTAAAAAAAGATTGTTGTTTTTTTTTTTTAAATAATTTTTTTTTTTTTGGTTTACTTGTTTGTTTAACAAGATCCGAGGAAGCATTAGGTTTATTAACTGTAACGGCTCAACTTGAAGTTATTGCTGTCTACACCAGATCAAACTACTTAGACCAGGCATGGGAAAACTTGCACATTTTTTTGACTCACAGGCCACAACTGTCCTAAAATTGAACAACGGAGACTGGGTCAGGTGCAGATAGACGGACCGTTCGTATAAACTAAGATAAATGACATGTAAAAGTCATGCATCAAGGCCGCATCCCCATCAATCCAGCCCCCTCGGGCCTTAGTTTGCCCATGCCTGACTTGTTGATGGCTGTCAATCCGGATCCAAATGTCACTGTCCGGATCACTGTTACGCAGTCCCTTCAGCTCCTATACCGCAGGTCTGTGTGACGGTTGTTGGTGTGGGAGTGACCTCCTGATCTGTGTCCAAAACGCAGATGACAGCATCTCCACTGACGTTGATTAGACACTGGGCCTAACAAACAGTAAATGTAGACATAAGTAACAGGGAAATTTACTGTCTTTCTGGCTTTGGTTTTGAACAGCTAAGGCATACTGTATTTTTGTTAAATAAACAATCATTTCATGGTAAAAAAAATGGCCCCCAGCCAAGAATCAACTAGAAAGGACGCAGAGACGAAAATGGTCTGTGACCAACACTTGTAAAAAAAAAATCATTCCTCAAAAGATGTTGCTTCCATACTGCCTCACCTTTTAGGTGCTTTTGGCACAACAGATGGTGAAATTGATTCAGAATCAATAATAATCAGCAGTTCGGTTGACGTTGATTTTATCTTGGGTTTTTAGTGTCAAATTATCTAAATGTATGCATTGAAATTCTCATCTTAAAAGTAATTGAACATATTTTTTCTCTGAGTACCACCTAAGTGAAAACAACATAAAAAAAAAGACATCAGATATCGAGTGTGGGTTTATGTCATGAATTGTTCTGTAGTACCTGGTTTTTGTTTGGATTCTCCATTAACACGCATTCCTTCATGCTGTAGGACACCACTGCATTACCACCCAGGGCTGCTACATGAGCTCGAACCATCGCGAAAACCTCTGCTATGAACGAATGCAGGAAGCCACTGACGCCACCTTCCTGCAGGAAGGACATACACGTGATTGATATTTTCAATTATGACAACACACACGAGAGAGAGAGAGAGAGAGAGATGACGAAGGGATCAAACGTGGAATTTCATGAATGAATACCTCACGTAAGGAAGTCGTTTCTCGAATAAAGAACATGTTGATAATCCCAAGATATTTGATGATTCGCGTCCCAGGAAGGAAGGACAGAGGCGTCATCTTCACAACAGTTACTGTGCTGCCGCCAAATGAGCAGTTGGAGCGCAGTGAGCGGGAACGTCCCTCGGGTAGCGGACTGCAGCGATCCATGGATGAGACTGCAGGTACGAAGAAAAAAAAAAAAAGAAGAAAAAGAGAATGCAGACAGTGGAAACATTTTAAAAATACTGAGGTGGAACGAAATATGCAAGGATTCATATCTGAAAAGAAGCAGTTGGAAAGGCTACTCGATTGAGGCAAAAATCATCATCACAATTATTTTGATTGCTATTGAAAAACACAAATATTAATCATTTGAGAATTTGCTTTTTTTTTGAATGAATGAAAACAAAGTGAATATATAAAAATAGAAATAATGTATAGGCAAATGATAACGCCAGAAATTGCCCAAGCCTGTGTAGCTGTGGTGTTTAGTGTTTCAGTAAAGTTAATCTAAGGTGCAAAAACAATCATGAATTCCATGCAGTTCAGGCCAAAAAAAAAAAAAAAAAGAGATGACATACATACAGAGTGTCTGCAGACAGACGGACTCACCTAGACACACCTGTGCGAGTTGAGTATACATATAATAACAGCAATTACAGACATTTTGGTCTGTGTATGCTATTGGAAGGTGTTTTGCAGAATGATTGACAGACAAACATGGCTCGGCACAAATAAATAAAGCCAGAGTGTGAAAGTTGCTTTAGTTGTTCAGGGTCATTTTCTTTTTCGTTTTCATTCGAATTTTGTTTTCATTTTTGTTGTTTTCATTACCTGCTGCTGTTTCTCTCATTTTCTGTTCACTGAAACGGCAACAGGGTCATTTTCTTTTTCGTTTTCATTAGAATTTTTGTTGTTTTCATTACATGCTGCTGTTTCTCTCATTTCTGTTCACTGAAACGGCAACAAGGACATTAATAAAATATATATTATTTTATCTCATAAAAATGTGTTAATTCAGTTGTTTGTAACAACAATTATTATACATTATAATATTTTAAAAAATTGCTCCATGATTGATAATTATAAAAAGGCAACTTAACAACAAATTCATAGGAGATGAATAAGGTGGCTTATGAGTAAGGTGACTTTACTGTAATGCCCAACAGATATCCAGTCCGGAGTTGGAAACTACTATATGTGTAATAACCCTTTGATGCATGACCCATGATATACTGAGTTAAAAAAAATGTTACTAAGTGTTTTCATGTGTTTTTAGACATAAAAATAAGAACTGATTTGGTTTTTCTTTTTTGAATGTTGACACAATTATTCTGCAGTTGCAAAGGCTGACCACTGTATGGCAGTGTTGGCTGATTCTCAGGCGTCCACTGTAGAGGCTTATATGCGACACTGCCCTCAAAACCTATTCTTATCATAGAAAACGACATTTTAATAACTGTCCACTGTAGTGACCGTCATGCATGAAAGGGATAATATTGTTTAAAAGTGTTCCAAACAAATGGAAACTGTTCCAATAGCCAAATAATCTTAAAACTTCAGCTGCCAATGTGGATCGCTATGGGCCAAACTTCAACTTTGACACTCTACCTTAAAAGCCGGTGCTTAATTAACAATGCTCAGCAGCATGCATGGAGGAAGCTTCGAGTGTAAGCAAGTTGTTGGGTTACGTATGACTGCGTACTTATATGATACGTGATGAAAAGTGTGTGTTCTGTAATTGTAGGGTATGATCACCAGAGTGTGCAAGAGAATGTGTCGTCCTACTTGTCTTAACTGATCCTCGTCTTATGGTGTGAGCTTTCAGTCTAAGCAGCTCTAGCCAGGTAGTGCATCTGTCTGCAAAGGAACCGTAATCAATGGAGGCAGCTGGAAAGAACACACACGCACACACACACATGAACGAACGAACGCACGCACACCCCCGTACATACACAACAACAGTAACGACATCGAGACAAAGAAAAAAAATAGAAGAACAAAAAAAACAAAACAAAAGTGGATGAGGTTTGGGAGTATTGCAGAATAACCGTCTGAAACACAATGATGAGAAGTCAAAATAGAGCAGTGAGGACGTCCAATGGTATGTTAAGCTAGTGCAAGACGGTGGTCGTGGGGCAGACCTACCTCGATGTGAGATGCTGGAACTCTCTGGAACACCTGGGTATCACACAGACACAAGCATTAACACACAAAACACCGCAACCTCTCCCGGAACTTGACAAGAACGGAAATACGGTCAATATGACTTCTACTATGCACTACATGATCAATCTACAATATATATTTTAATATACGGTTGCCATCTGACCCAGGCTTAATGAGCCAACAACACTACATCTTTGGCTACATCCACATCGTTTACTTTTTTAAATTTAACCCTTTGATGCATGACCCATGATATACCGAGTTAAAAAAATGTTACTAAGTGTTTTTAGACATAAAAATATGAACTGATTTGGTTCTGATTTTATACACCACATTTTCTTTTTGAATGTTGACACAATTATTCTGCAGTTGCAAAGGCTGACCACTGTATGGCAGTGTTGGGTGATTCTCAGGCGTCCACCGTAGAGGCTTATATGCAACACTGCCATCGAAACCTATTCTTATCATAGAAAATAACATTTTAATAGCTGTCCACTGTAGTGACCGTCATGCATGAAAGGGTTAAAATGCCTCCTGTATTAACGTCTGCATCATACAGTGCTACTCTACTCTGTGAATTTGTAGTAGAACTAATGCAAAGTTATAAAGGGAAAAAAACAGCATTATAGGTATTAGAATTTGTATTGCATGTTTTTTTTTTTCTGGTTTTCCACATATTTATATAAAGAGCTAAAACTGGGTCCCAATGATTTTGAAAGTATGGATGTAGCCTAAGTTTAAATCCAAACGGAGAATCGAGCTAACTATGAGTTTACCTCCTAAATGCACCATAACCAGCTGACTTTGGCCGAGTTTTGAAACTGGGGTGAGTAAAGACATTGTTCCTGAGCTGTAAGCTTGGAAAGGGAAGTGCTCATCAGCGAAGCATGGAGAAGAGGAGTAGACCAAACAACAAAAAATGAAATGCGAATGCTACCTGAGAACTTAGATGTCTGCATATTGACGGACGAGGAGTCGGCGCACAACTCCATCGGAAACTGAAGCTGTTCCTCGGTCTCGCTGTTCCCTAAGTGAAACCACAAGTCACAGTTAATTTTATATATATATACATACACACACACACACACATATATACACACACACACATATACACACACACACATATATATATATACATTTTCCTCGCGTACCACTATATATATACTATATATATATATATAGTGGTAC